AAAGAGGACTTCTCACCATAGAACCACAGGACACTTTGGGTTGGGAGGGACCTTTTTAGGGTCATTTAGTCAAAAATCCCCCGTGATGAGCACTGACATCTTCAACCAGACCAGGCTGCTCAGAGCCACACCCAGCCTGGCCTCAAATGTTTCCAGGGCATCCACCACCTCCCTGGGCAGCCTGTGCCAGGGTTTTCCCATCCTCATCGGAAAAGTCTTGTTTACCAAGACTTGCTTTACTTGCCTCAGCTCTGGCAAGATGCAGGAAGATGCCTGGGAATATCCATGAGGATAACAACCTTTCCTAACACCCACCCCAGCTCCCCACAGCTCAGCAGCAGCTGTGGCTTCACTTGGGATCAAACCCAAATCCTGGAGGGCTCACAGGGGTTTTAAGTGTGGTGTGACCTTAGAAGGTCCCTGTTTTTCCTGAACACTCATTTTTTTTTCCCTGTGGCAGCCCCAGGTTCTCCTCCAGCCAGGATAAAGGGAGGCTTCACTGATGGAAACTCTTCTTGCTCTCCATAAAACAATCTTTGCCCTGGACACTCCCCCTGCCCGCTCACACCCAACTTAGTTTTCCTCCTTTTCCACCTCCAGGACCAAATGTCCATCCACAGCTCCACTTCCCACCCTCCCTCTTCAAACTCATCCTCTCAACCAGGATGTTCTCCCAGGAATCCAGTCCCACCAGAGCCACATTTGAACCTTGGAAGCCGTGATGGACAAAGAGGTGAAGGCACACGAGGAGGTGGAATTGTCCTCCCAGCCCTATTCCCTGTCCCACTATCCCAGCTCCCAGCATCCAGGATTGAAGTTCACTGCCAGGAGGTGTTGCCAGAGGGGGTTTTGACAGATGCTTTTGAAACAAGGGAGCAGCAGCTTGACAGGAACAAGCTTTTCATAGTTTTCTTCCTTTTGATTTTTTTCCCCTGAAATGTGTTTTTCCATAAGAAAAAAAACCAGCCCAGGAGAACTACCTTTCAATTTGTCCTCTTTCACTTCTGGGCCGAGAAGAAAGAGGTCATTTATATATTTTTTAAGGAAGCAGAAGGAATATAAAGTCCACTAGAGGGAAAAAGAAGTCATGGATATCTCGGGAGCAGGGGGACTTTCATCAACAAGGTGGCAAACCCGGGCGACATTACGAGCCATGTTTAAAAATGACCAAGTGGAAAGTTATAAAAATGAACAAGCCTTGTGTGGAAAATGATGGAGGGAATTTCAGGCACGATACAAGTCATCTGTGAAAACTGCCAGGAGAGCAGGGAAGACATTTCTGTCTCCAAAAGCAAAATAAAACACTACTCGCAGTAATTCATACTAATTATTAGCCTTAAGTAGTACTAATTTTTACCCAGCTGTAATTACTATTTAAGGCTCTGGGGGGGGGAAAAAAAAAAAAAAAAAAAAAAAAAAAAAAAAGGACTTTCTGGATGTGGGAAGATCCTTGCAGAGGAATTTGCAGAGTGTTTGAGGGAGAAGTTTTATTTCTCCTCTGCACCGACATGGGGAGACATAAATATCCCATTCCTATTGATGCAAATAACGGATTGCTCCTGTCAGAACTGCCAAAGCCACTAATTTAAGGAGCATTTCCCTCACAAGCACAGATGCATTTTTCAAGAGGTTTGGTTGTTTTGGTTTTTTTTTTTTAGGTTTTGCTCTTTCCCCCCCGGGATCTGAGTTCCCAAACCAGGTGAAAAATCCAGCGGCTGATCTCCGGTGTTTGATTTCAGCAGTGAGGAACCCGTGGGAAGCACATGCCAGGAATTATGGAATAGGCTGCGGGAAGGAAAACTTGCCAGGGAGGGAAAGGCAGCAGCTGTGGGCAGGAGAAAAGCCAGATGGCATTTGGGGATCCTGCCCTCCATCCCAACAGTCCAGAACTGCCTCTTGATCCCATGGGGACCTCACAGCAAACTCCAGCTTCCAACTCTGCCCAGACTTTCCTTCTCATCCTTTCATTGTCGTTTTGTTACTGTGTCCTCTGAGATCTGAGTGCTTTGGGGGTGGTTACAGGTGTAAAATTAATTCCATTAATTATACTCTTTATATTTAACTCTATCAGTGCTTTCTAGAGCATGGATTTTCCATAAAGCCTTCCTGAATTCCTCACCACTGCCCTGGGAGGGGGGGTTTTAGCCAATGCCACCAATCCAAGCAAATATCTGTGACAACCCATGGGGACCTCACAGCTTCCAACTCTGCCCAGACTTTCCTTCTCATCCTTTCATTGTTGTTTTGTTAGTGCAGGGATTGATGTGTCCTCTGAGATCTGAGTGCTTTGGGGGTGGTTACAGGTGTAAAATTAATTCTATTAATTATACTCTTTATATTTAACTCTATCAGTGCTTTCTAGAGTATGGATTTTCCATTAAGCCTTCCTGAATTCCTCACCACTGCCCTGGGAGGGGGGTTTTCAGCCAATGCCACCAATTCAAGCAAATATCTGTGACAACCCACGGGGACCTCACAGCTTCCAACTCTGCCCAGACTTTCCTTCTCATCCTTTCATTGTTGTTTTGTTAGTGCAGGGATTGATGTGTCCTCTGAGATCTGAGTGCTTTGGGGGTGGTTACAGGTGTAAAATGAATTCTATTCAGCCAATGCCACCAATCCAAGCAAATATCAGGGCAGCAAAATGAACTTCCCCAAAGCCATGTCCCTGTCCCCAGCCGTGTGCTCCCATTCTGTCCTTGCTGCTGGCACTGACATTCCTGTGGCTGCTGGAGAGACAGGTCAGGGAGCTGATCTGGCTGAAAAGAGCTCGAGGAAAATAAAAATAGTGCTCCAAACCTCTACCATTCCTGCTCTGGGTCACCCTGAGTGCCTGTGCCACCAGGGTATGAAGGGACAGCAGGAGTTTTCCAGCCAGGCTGGATGATGGTGATGCTGCAATCCCTGATCTCTCCCAAGCCCTGCCTCCTGCACTCAGGATCATCCCAAAAATGCCAGGGACACACACACACACCCCAAAACAAGGCGCTCCCACTGCAGCCCACATGGCTGGGAATGGAGTGGATGGAGCTGGGAATCGCCAGCTTTGCAGCTGCCACCTCCAGCCTGGCACTCCCACTCCCTGCAGGGACATCTGAATGCCCATCCACGACAAAAACATCCCCCAAATTATCTGGAGAGGAGGGTGAGGCCATCCAACAGCACCTGCTGGGGTGGGGCTGTGCCTGCAGGGGTCAAATGCCAGCTCGGGGATGAAAAGGCCCTTCTGGAGACCTCAGGATCAGGGGTCCAAAAGGGGAATAGAGGCTCATGGTTTGCTCTGGTTGGGCTGGAGGCGATGAGTGTACCCCAAACACCTGGCTCCTGTTCCCAAGTGCTTTGCTGACAATGGAAAACCGGCCATTTGCTCCTTTCTCCAAGTCCACTCTCTCCGGGGGAATCAATCGGGCTCCCAGGCGGTCAGTCAGTGAGGCGTCAATCCAACCGCTTGGAAAACGCATCCCGAGGGACCTGGACTGCCACCCAGAGGTCCTGGGAGCCTTACAGGGAAAAATGCCCAGCTCTGAGGGAGGCTGAGGCCTCCCCCAGCCCAGGGCACAGCCCCTGAGGGGCACAACCCTCCCAGCCTGGGGCACCTCCAGCTCCCGGTGCTCTCCAAACCCCTGGAGCAAAGCATTCCCTGGCTGGAGAAGGACCCTCCTGGGGGGTCCAATTCGTCTCCCTTCCCTCTATCCAGCCTTTGGGACTTGGAAGAGTTGCTGCTGCTGACATCTAGTGACAGGGAGAGCCGGCGAGAGGAATCACCTGGAGCTCTGACACAGCCTTTCCCACCGAGGGAAGATCCTGCTCGGGGGGTCTTTCCCGGGAGACGGGCTCCCAGTAGGAATGCTGGGCGTGCAGGGCGAGCCGCGACGTCCCAGCCACTTCCACGGATCCCAAGACCTTTTTCTCTCCCAGCGGCCACCGGCGCATCCCAGTCCCTGCCTTCCCAAAAAACCTTTCCCGGTCTATGTAAGCACAGGCTCAACCTCGGGGTTGGGAAGCACAGGGAGAGAGGGGGGAAAAATCCCTCAAGGGGAAGTGTCGGGGAGGAGAAAAAAATCCCCCAAGGGGAGGTGTCGGGGGGGCATCCAGGCAGTTCCCAACCCCTGTAGCCTCTTCACCCACGGCTCTTTCTTCCCGGGAATTCCGCGCAGGAGAAGCGCCCGCTCGGAGCTAAGGAGAAGGAGGATGCGAGCGGGATGCTCAAAGCTCGGGAGCTGCAGATTTCCCCGCGGTATCCCACGGGGGTCAGCGCCTCCCAGCCACGCCAGCGGAGCAGGGACGCCTTTGGAGCATCCATAGGGATCGGGGGAGGCATCTTGGGGTCCTTGTGCGAAAACAAAGCCCTGCGGACGGCTCAGTTTTGGGGGGCGTGAGGAAATCTGCAGCGGGAAGCTCCGAACGGACACGCAGACACACACACAGACAGACGCCGGGGTCGGGTCGGCGCTCAGGACGCGGTGCTGTGGTGACAGCGCGGTGACAGAGCCGGGGCTGCCCCCCCTGTCCCCCAAACCCCGACATTTTCCAGCCTGGGCAGCACCGCGGGGGCTCCCGGGGCTCTGCAAAACCCGCCTGTCCCCCCCTCCCCAGCGCGACCCCTCCGAGCTGCTCTTCCCGAGCGAGAAATTCCTTAATTCCCGGGGTAAAGCGAGCCGTTCCCGCGGCAGACAGGACTATCCGGAGCGACGGGAGAGAGCAGAGCAGACAACGCGAAGCTGGTGCTCGCAGAACCGCGGAACGCTTCGGGTTGCGAGGGACCTTCAAGCCCATCTCCTTCCACCCCCTGCCACGGGCAGGGACACCTTCCATTCCACCAGCCCAGGTCGCTCCAAGCTCCGTCCAACCCGACCTGGACGATGCTGCCCCGGGGCTTGTCACCGCTCCCGGAGCGCTGGGGAGGGTCAGACCCCCCCGAAATCCACCCCCCCCCCCGAAATCCCCCCGCAACCCACCCCCAGCACAAAGTTGTCCCCCCGCGGCGCCGCTTTACTCACCCAGGAGGACCAGGGTGCAGAAGCAGAGGATGCCCCTCATCCTCCCGCTCGCCACGGCTCGGCCCCGGCGACTGGGCTGGGCTCGGACCCCCGGCCCGGCCCGGCGCGGCTCGGCGGTGCCGGAGGATGCGCGGAGGGCTGGGCAGGGCGGGAGGGATGGAGGGAAGGATGGAGGGATGGATGGATGGATGGAGAGGGAGGGAGGCGGCCCCGCAACCCCGGCTCGGCCCCCCCGGCCCGAGCGCTCACAGCGGCCCGGCCCCGCTCCGGCCCCGGGGCATCCCCGCGTCGGGCACCGCGGGGGCCCGGCCCATCCTCCGGGGCTGCTCCCGGGATTTTATTTTTAATTGTTTTATTCCTATTAATTAATTTTTTCTTTTTTTTTTTTTTTTCTCTCTCTCTTTTTTTCCCCTTATTTTTTTTCCTTCTATTTTTTTTCTTTGCCGTGGTTGGTTTAATTATGTTTTTTAGGTTTTTTTTTTTTTTTTTTTTTCCTTCTCGCTCGCCAGCAAAAAACTTCTGGCGGCGGGCGCAGCTTCGCCGCCTTCCCCGGGTCGCCCCCGCCCCGCCGCGGCCCCGTGGGGAGGGGCTTGGTGGTCCGGCCTCCTCCTCCCTCCTCCCCGGCCCCGCATCCCTGATCTCCCCCGGCAAGGAGCATGTCATGCTCCTGTCCCTAGGACACGACCCCTTTCAACCTCTTCAACCCCAGGGGGTTTTCTTGCTCCCCCTGGAGGGTCTCGGTGTCCCCCACCCCTCCAAACCCTTCCCGTCCAGATGACAGACCAGCCCCATCCCCTTGGCACCCGTGTCCTAATCTTGGCTCTCTGCTGGCAGCGACACAGCCCTGAAGTCCTGGGCGATGTCCCACCACCCCTCCCAGCCAGGAGACCTTCCATTAACCCCCTGCACTGGGATGACCTTCCAGTTCTTCTCCAAAAACCTCCGTAAATTCAGGTTCTGATGTTCCGTAACTCCCCGTGCCGCTCCCTGGACCCCCTTCCCATGGAGCACTGCTCCCTCCCCACCATTCCCTGGGACTTCCCCCACCTCCCGGCATTCCCCGCCTTTAATCCCCATGTCCCAGCAGGTGACCTTCTTTTGGGAAGCCCGGCTGGCTCCTTGATTTTTTTGATGAGGCGGGAGCAGGTTTTTCACTCCATTTCATGCCTGGAGTCCCCGAGACACAAAACACAAAGTGACACCTTGAGGTTCCCCCAGTAATGAACTGACCGATGGAGCAGGAAAAGCCTCATTCCCAAGGCAGTATCCTGTAAATATGAGCACCTCTGGTCCTGCTCCGAACACAGGCTTGCCCTTTCTCTTTCCCTTTCCTTTTCCCTTCCCAAACCTTCCCTTCCCTTCCCAAACCTTCCTTTCCCAGACCTTCCCAAACCTTCCCAAACCTTCCCTTCCCTTCCCAAACCTTCCCAAACCTTCCCTTCCCAAACCTTCCCAAACCTTCCCAAACCTTCCCAGACCTTCCCTTCCCAAACCTTCCTTTCCCAAACCTTCCCTTCCCAACCTTCCCTTCCCTTCCCTTCCCTTCCCTTCCCTTCCCTTCCCTTCCCTTCCTTTCCCTTCCCTTCCCTTCCCGTCCCTTCCCTTCCCTTCCCTTCCCTTCCCTTCCCTTCCCTTCCCTTCCCTTCCCTTCCCTTCCCTCCCAAACCGAAACCTTCCCAAACCTCCCCAAACCTTCCCTTTCCCTTCCCAAACCTCCCTTCCCTGCCCTTCCCTTCCCTTCCCTTCCCTTCCCAAACCTTCCATTTCCGTCCCTTCCCCGCCATTCCCTTCCCTCCTTTCCCTTCCCAAACCTTCCCAACCTTCCCTTCCCTTCCCTTCACTTACCTTCATCCCTTCCCGTCCCGTCCCTTCCCTTCCCTTCCCTTCCCTTCCTTCCAAACCTTCCCCAACTGTCCCAACCTGCCCAAACATTCCCAAGACCTCCCAAACCTTCCCTTCCCAAACCTTCCCTTCCCAAACCTTCCCTTCCCAAACCTTCCCTTCCCAAACCTTCCCAAACCTTCCCAAACCTTACCTTCCCAAACCTTCCCTTCCCAAACCTTCCTTTTCCAACCTCCTCCTCCAAAACCTTCTCTTCCCAACCTCCCCTCCCAAAAGTCCCCTTTTTGTTCATCTTTTCTCTTCCCTTCCCTTCATCTTTTCCCTTCCATTTCTATCCCTTGCCTTTTTGATTTCCCTTTTTCCTCCTTTCCCCCTCTCCTCTCCACCCCTCCTTCCCTGTCTCTCATTTTAACCCAGAGGCTCCTCTGATGATCCAGGGAAGCCTCAGGACACTTTTCCCACCCTGCAGTGCTCTTGGATATTCACAGGGAGAGCTTTTCCCCACTGCTGGCTCAGGGATTTTCACTAAACAGGTATTTAAACTCTCTGAGAAGGGTTGGTCTTTTTTTCCTCTGGAGCTGTTCAGGGTTCTTAACTCCCATTTCCTCGTGGCATCACCTCATTAATCCTCCAGCAAGTTCTCCAAAAAAAACCCAGAGGAATTGCACACTTTTATTTTTCACATGTAAAACAGAGCAGGGAAATAATTCACACACCTTGTAGGTGTCACAGATCAAGCAGAAAGCGCTCGAGAAAATAGGTTTTTCTTTTCTTATTTTTTTTTCTTTTCCCTTTTCTTTTCCTCCTGGCAAATCCAAAAGGAAAAGGGTGATCCCTGCCCTTCCTCCCTGGCCTTCCTTTCCTTTGGAAACCTTCCAGCAGCGTTCCAGGCTGGAAGTGTTCGTTTAACAAGTTTCCTGGTCCTCTGTCAGACTTGAAAAGTTGTAAATAAATGAATGGCTCGAACAACTGCATTTCACACCCAAAATGAGCATCTCCTGAGCTGCTCAGAGGGGGGAGAAAGAAAGTGTTTAATAAAACCTCATTCAGAGTCAAAAAAAAAGCTTATTCTGGAGCTGATTTTATTTTGATTTCTCAAAGAAGAGTCTGATTATGTTTAAGCAAATCTCCAAGTGAAAGGATGCTGAGCTGCAGTTGAAACATCAGCTGGGAAACCGGGGAAGTGATTGGATTTTTCTGCCTATTATTAATATTATTATTATTATTATTTATTATTATTATTAATAATTATTTCTCAGCTTGTTTTTTAATTAAAAAATTAAGTTTAATTTAAAAATTAAAAATTTTTTGAAGGAGCTGTTTGTCCAGGAAGAAAGAAAAAAAAAAAAATCACTGGAACAGATGTGAGGTTTTGTGAGGGTTTTTTTTTACAAACGGAAAAGATTTTTTTCCTTGGAAAATGCCTTTGCTTCCCTTAGGATTGGGATGTTCTGATGCTCTCGGGCTGAAGGGGGTGAGCTGAGCTCCAGCACCCACCCAGGGGTGGGTTGGGCTCAGAGAAAATGGGAAATGGGGATTTGCTTTCCCTGGCACTTCGTCCTCTTTTTGGGGTCTGAGCAGCAGGAAAACCTTTGAAATCAGGGAATCTGCCAGAAATTCCTGCATCCACATGGGAAAACATGGAGACCTCCTTGCTGTCCCCTCTTGGGCCAAGGACAAGCTACAACCCACCCCCCCTCCAGACAAGGAATCCGTGCTGTGAAAGCCCCATTTCTTCCTCAGTTGGAAGAGAAAAAAAACCCAACAGGAAAGTTTGGGAAAGGGGAAACTCCAGGAATAGACAACCCACCCCTCCCACACTTCCCATCCCACCAGGGAGGCATTTCCTGCCTTTTCTCTCTGGCTGTGGAGGCACCACAAGGGCCGAGTGTTGCCCTGGGAAAAGCCACCCCAGAAGAGACATCCTGGAAATGCCGTGGAGAGAGAGGGATCATTGTTCCCTGCCGCCTTTATTCATCGGATCCGGGCTTTTCCCTGATCCCAGGGTGGGTGTTGAGATGAATAAAGCACAAACCACTCCTTGCACAGGCCCCTCTTAAAAATGACCTGCTCCCTTTTCCTTACAAATGAGGCGAGGGGTTGATCAGGCAGGTGGGAAAACATCCCATTGTTGATCCCGTCTGGAAAAGCTGCTTCCCAGAGCCCGGGACAACACAACAACACTGAGCAAAGGCAGTGAAAAGAAGGATTGTTTGGGAAAATCCATGGGGAAATCACCGGGCAGGGAAAGCACAGAAAACGTGCTGATTAAAAGCAATGCAGTTGGGAGAGGGAAAGTGGTTAAGTGGAGGCTGAGACACGACTTGGAGGGACTTTCTGGAGGAAAATTGCTGGGCAGGGCACAATTCCATGAAAATGGATGGTTCCAAATGCAAAAATAGCCAGTAAAAAAAAAAAGGCGGGAAAACTGTGGCTGTCACTTTTTCAGGAAGTGACGAGGAATTAAGGGATTGTTGCAACTCAGGGAAGTTGGAAAACTGGGCAGGACACAATTCCATGAAAATGGATGCTTCCAAATCCAAAAATAACCATTAAAAAAAAAAAAAGGCGGGAAAACTGTGGCTGTCACTTTTTCAGGAAGTGATGAGGAATCAAGGGATTGGTGCAACTCAGTGCCATGGGTTCCTCCAGTGGGAGAAGACAGAACTTGAGGAGGGAACCCTGTCAAGAGAAAGGAAGTGGCTTAGGGAGTAGTGAGATTGAAGAGGAGCCCACCCATCACAGGAGTTTCTCCTGTGTTTGTCTTGCAGTTGATTTGTTTAAGGTTTGCAATAACAATTTTGGCCCCCAAGGTAAAAATGAAGTTCTGAGGAAGTCTGCTCATGGAACAAAGCTGAGAAACCTCCATGGAATGCAGCAGGAGCTGAATATCCCAGAGAACCACTCAAGAATGAGCAGAAGCAGGATGGAAGAGTTCAAAATTGAGTCATGAATCTCAAAGTAAAGATTTTCTTCTCCATGGCTCTTGAGAAGCCATTTCTCTGCTGGAAATCAATCCCAACGGAAACTGGTGTTGGACACACACACATGGACTGAGGGACAACATCTCTGAGGGACAAAAACAGGCATGTAACCCTTGGACCAATGCTGGAGGCACCACAGCAAGGTGCAGAAGGTGACTGTGAGCAGCTCTTGAGTCTCCTAAAAATCAAATAACTCCTCGTGCCCTCACCTCCATGATGAAGACTGGGAGAGAAAGAATTATTTGGGGAAAAAAGCCTGATGGAGCAAAGCTGAGAAACCTCCATGGAATGCAGCAGGAGCTGAATATCCCAGAGAAAACCTCTCAAGAATGAGCAGAAACAGGATGGAAGAGTTCAAAATTGAGTCATGAACCTGAAAGTGAAGATTTCCTTCTCCAGGGCTCTTGAGAAGCCATTTCTCTGCTGGAAATCAATCCCAACAGAAACTGGTGTTGGACACACACACATGGACTGAGGGACAACATTTGTGAGGGACAAAAGCAGGCATTTAACCCCTGGGCCA